AGTGTCTTCCAAGTGAGAAGACTGGCAGCCAAGCAAGTTGATGAGTTCTCCGATGAGGAGATTTTCACAAAGGATGCAGGTTGGCGGTGGCCTGGGGGATGACTTAAAATTCCTATGTAAAATGAGGGGGTTGGCAAGCTTCATTGCCTTGGCATTGTTCTCCAGGAAGCTCCGAGAAGTCATTATAGAGGCAGCACCCACAGAGTCCACTGCTGAGAATGAGGAAGGGGACACACGAGAAGAAGTCATCATTGAATGAGCAATCCTGCTTCGGCAGCACCTGCTTCAAAGGAGAAACTGTAACCTCCTGCAGGATCACAGAATGTTCAGGCTCTGTGTTGACTATGAATTAAGTGAAAGCCCATGACCAAGCTGTACCACAGCGCTGGGCAATGTTGGAGGCTGAGCTGTATGCTGACGCAGTGGTCTTGGATTTGTCTCTTCCTGTGGTACTCTATGCTCTCCTACAGCCTCCATAGATGACTCTGGAGGCTGAGATGGGGTCTCCTGAAAAGTTGGAGAGAGTTGAACCCCTCAAGTAGCTATAAGAGTTATGTGACATTCCAGGTTCAGAGCCTGATGATGACAGGAGTGACGTTGGCTCCTGAGCCTGCGCCTGCATCTGCTCGGACTGTAGAAGTGTCACCTCAGGGTGCTTCAGAGGAGAAGCTGCAACCACAACACTGGGAACTACTGGAGGCTGAGCCGTATGCTGACCCAGTGGTGTTGGATTTGTCACTTCATGTGGTACTGTATGCTCTCCTATATTCTCCATAGATGACTCTAGAGGCTGAGATGGGGTCTCCTGAAAATGTGGAGAAAGTTGAACCTCTGCAGTAGGTACAGGAGTTATGTGATGTTCCAGATTCACAGCCTGAATGATGACAGCAGAGAGGTTCGGCTCCTGACCCTCAGCCTGCGTCTGCTCTGCCTGTACAAGTATCACCTCTGGGTGCCTCAAAGGAGAAACTGTCACCTCCTGCAGGATCACAGAATGTTCAGCCTCTGTAGTGTCTTGAAGATTTTGTGTAAATCCCATATCCAAGGGTTGTAACACAACACTGGGCAATGTTGTACTCTAAGCTGTATGCTGACCCAGTGGTCTTGGATGTGTCACTTCATGGGGTACTGTATGCTCTCCTATAGCCTCCATAGATCTCTCTGGAGGCTGAGATGGGGTCT